TCCAGTAGATCGGTTGTGAACCATCTGACTGCGCATCACAGATGATCCCATCGTCTTAAACCAGTGGTTCTTAATCTTTTGGGGAAGCCACACCCATTCGGTTTACAGAATATGTCCTCGCACCCTTGCCTTTCAGGATTTGTTAATAGTTCCTCTCTCTTACGTTTAATTATAACCAAAAGAAAGTTAATATCATCTATCAAATGACGTATTATAGTACGTTGTGTTCTCAATAGGTAGATGTCAGTTTCAGTTATAACATAAGCTTCATTCCCGTGAGATCTTTAACGACTAGCTTGGGAGAATTTGATAATCAGCTCCCACCCCCTCACCCAGTGACTCAAGCCTTCTGGTGGTTCGCTTGCTAACCATTTGCCCGCGTATCATAGATGACTCCATCGTCCTAAACTCTGGCTCCCATTATCAACACGCTTCCTAGTAACATAACTTGGACATATCCGTCCCCATTTTTCTCCCTTCTAGCAACACTACCATTTGGTGCCACTTTGTGGAACAATGACGTCACGTGATTTCCCGATCTCAAAGGATATCTCCCTCTGATCTCCACTGGGGCACAGGTGAAGAAGGTTAACTACTAGCATTGCGAGTACTAGAATTCTGCTGCTATTTCCCCAACAAAGTATCGATTCTAAAATATTTTTGAGTTTAAGATTGTTGAAATACAATTAGAATGATTAAGCTTGATTAAAGTTTGGTATTTTATATGCAGATGTGTTGTCGACACCTAGAAGATGCTCATCGGTACGGATAGGGTTAAATGTCGCTAATTGCGTTGTATTTACATTGCAGTTACTCATTAAACACATGTGCACTTACACATAAGTACATCGTACTTAAATCCGTTTACATCGTATACATCTAACCCTAACACACTCCACTAACTACAGGATTTTGTTTGTTTGTTTTTGAATTTCGCGCAAAGCTACACGAGGGCTATCTGCGCTAGCCGTCCCTAATTTGGTAGTGTAAGACTAGAGGGAAGGCAGCTAGTCATCACCACTCACCGCCAACTCTTGGGCTACTCTTTTACCAACGAATAGTGGGATTGACCGTCACATTATAGCGCCCCCACGGCTGAAAGGGCGAGCATGTTTGGTGTGACGGGGATTCGAACCCGCGACCCTCAGATTGCGAGTCGATTGCCTTAACCACCTGGCCATGCCGGGCCAAGTACAGGAACAAAAAATTATAATCGTTAGTTTTTGCACCTCTCTATATTTGAATCAGAAATGACAAATTAAGAATATGAAAAAAAACGTCTGCAGCTAACGTGATTTTTGTCAGAATTTTAGTTTAGGCCTACTGGTTTCCATATTTCGGCATTTAAACTGTGGCTTTTAGAATATTATACTACATAAAGAAGACACCGTGATTTTTGTTGTTTTTTCTTTTCCTACAATTGAAGAAATTTCTCTACCTATCAGAGTATTCATCCATATCCTGGACAGTATTAATAATTAATGCTGCTAACACAGTATTTAAACCTATTTCGATCTTAATTCGTCTACGAGAACCAGAAGATCTGGAATGTACAGAGAGGGGGGTGGTAAGCTTTCTGTCAACATCCGATCCTTTTTTAGCCGCGGAATAGCGGCTCTGATTTTTTTGTTTTTTTCAAGTACAAATTTTCAGCTCATAGCTCCATCATCTCTTGACCGATTCGAGATCTAACTACAGTTTTGGACTCAGGAGGTCAAACTCTTTCAATTGATATATTTGTCCACGCCCAATTTACTCTAATCCTGCCGAAATCAATTTCAATTTGAGGGTTCGCTGACAGAGATTCTGATGAGTAATAAAATTGAATCGGATATACACGCGCCCCACGCTTGGTATTGCTAGCGCACAAAAATATAGCTAATAAAAAGAAGAAAAAAAAAAGGTCTCGTAGATTAATTTACTCTAATCCTGCCTAAAAGAATTTCAAATGCTGCGGGTATTGAGGACTCCTTCTTGTTTAATAATATGTCAATACCTGATGAGCTTACCCACGATTGCATATTCCTGAACGAAACAGAAAACAGCAAAGTTATCTGGATACAGTTTTCATCACTGTGACAATCCATTGGGTATTGGCCAGGATGGAGTATTTATCTTCCTTCTGGATTCGTTCTCTTCCTCAGAATAATTTTCCAAATTTCTCGTGACTATTTACTTTCCATCCAGACTCATCACTTTTGTTATAAGTATGTTTTGGAATTCAGGTACCAATTCACTTTTCTACTTTTAGATCGTATGTTTCCCAGTTACATCATTCTGACAGACATCAATTATCATAGTTGGTCTCACTCAGAAATTTTAGACCGCTCCGTGTCATATTTCTGGGTCCTTCTTATCTTTACAAAATTTTGTAGACCAAATACTAGTGTCTTCTTAGAAGTATAGTTAATCAAAATAATGCTTCACCAGCTTTGAAATGACATTTACAACATATAAATTGTTGTTGTAAAAGAGGCGTAGGAAGCAACTTAAAAGTTTAGAACTACAGAAATGATATAGGTTGGTTACTGACTACTAAACCATGCCAATTCTGGTAACATGAAAAAACTCGGTTAATTAAAAAGTATGTGTGATATGATACAGAAATTATATCCTGTGATACTATAAACTAATTCAAACTGGCGCAGTACTAATGCAAGTTTTTCATATCTTTTCTTCCTTGGTGTTACTTGTACTTAGTATGTAAGAAGAGAGAGGTTTGACCCACGTATTCCTTTCCACATCCATATTGTGTACAATATATTACTCGTTTTTGTTTATTCTGCCCTTCCAATTTCAAGTTACATAATAAATTTACAATATTGTGTGAAGCCAACAGGCCTAATATTTGTGATAAAAAGTGTCGTTAGCCGTAAGTATATTTTTTTCTCTTCACATTCTTCTTTATTTGTCGTTGTGGATTTAAAGTCAGAGGCAAGTAAAAATAACATTTCAGGTACATCTTTAATCTCCATATGTCAGTAACCAAGAAGCCTTTCGTTCAATACAAGCACTCCTCACTTTGGCTACTAAACTCTTGTACGATGTAACGGACGGAGAATGCGTTTAAAACGTCGACTTTACATCACTATATCCTTGGACCAATAATTATTGTGAATACTCTAATGTACAGCCAATTATAATTACTAGTAATGTTTCTGATCTAAATTCGTATTTTAGACTTTTCAAATGTAAATTCTTGCCCCCGAAGGAAAGGCTATCACCCAGTTCTCCCCTTAAGAAGTCATGGAAAATTAAACTCTATGTAAAATCCGTGTAAAAGATCGTCACCATCGTGTCAGCACTCGGATTAAGAATCATCTTTTATTGGAACCTTTTTGAAAGAAGTTAAGAAAGCTTTGGTGTTAAACATCATAATAGGAGAATACCCGGGATTTAGGGTCTACCAAAGGACCACAAATCCGACATACCACTTAGACCTATTGTTTCAATTTTAGGTTCACTCACAGAAAAAAATTTATAATTCCTAGAAGATTCTCCACCTTCTATTACAGTTTGTTTTATTCCATTTAACTACAACAATTTATTAAGAATCTGAACTCTTCAATTAATAAATTAACCAAAAACAACATCCTTTTTTTCTTATCATGAATATTTACTATACCAATAGATGAGGAAATTGGCAATGTCCTTTTTGTATAAAGGTAAGACTAACATGGATCCCCAAGGGATTTCCCTGAATGATATGCACAAATTCCTGGAATATTTTTAACGCTTATTATTTTTAGGTTTGGAGAACAAATATACTGTCAGACGTACGGAGTAGCCATGGGTAATAGGATGGATGTAGTCTTTGCTGTAATTTCAAGCATAGAATTGAGATTAAAGCAATCCATGACTGAGTACTTAATGATGTAAAAAGAAAAAAAAAATGCGCTCCGTACTTTGGGGCTGTTGGTTAGTTACGAGACTATCGTTCAAATTCCACTAAGTAGAATAACACAAATAACGGTAAAACACTCACCAAATTAAAATAAATGTATTAACGAATATGAAATGAGTCAACAGTCCTTCATGGGTTTCCATTGGGTAGAAAACAAAATCCCCCAGTTTATTCCTCATTAGAAACCAGATGATGGGCTAATGCCCAAAATGTTCTTTTAGTATCCGTCAGTTATTTTAATTTGGGCGAGTGTTTCACCATTGTTTTATTCCGCTTTTTTTTTGTAATGTCTTTGTCCATTCAATTCTTTTGTTACTAAAACTGGTTAAATCCCACTAATCGAGTACAGTAGCCTGAGAGTTCCTGTTGATTAGCTGCATTCCTTTTATTCGATCAGTTCATAATTAGAGACGGCAAGCGTAGGTAGCCCTTGTTTAGCTTGGGGCGAATATCTGAATCAAACCAAACGTTTTGTTATACTTCAAACACAATCTAAGCAAGTGAAAAGAGTTGTCACTTCACTTCTTATTTTTGGCTTCTTTTTTTTTCATTTTCTTTCGCTGGGCCATCGTTACAATTCGAACACAATCTCAGAATGTGAAAGGAACTATCATTTCATATTTTGGCAGTTTTTTTACAGTCTAGTTAAGGAAATTTTCGAAGGAAAATCCCCGCAATTGTGAACATTAATTTTTCTCTACGTGTCCGATTAATTAAAAAAAATATTACTGCTTTAAAAAAATTTTGAATTTTTGCTCCTTATGACCTTAGTGTATGAATAATTTGCATTGTAATGGACTGTAGATAACCTTCTAAAAAATAATCAATGTTTGTTTGTATCACCTACCCACATAATGACAATGTAGCTCTGATACAGCTTTATATTTCGAACTGACTTACTGATTTGCATATTCCAAATCATTTTAATATAACATACTCAACATTCTGTATTTAAGATAACAGATTTTGAGATTTCTGTTTGTTTTTTCTCTTGGGAAATTCATAAGTTTTTCAGTACAACTTCTAATTAGTAGCAATTTATTTACAGACAAAAATAATGAGAAAGCCATTTTGTTTTGTATAAAAGGGTGTTTATTAAACAAAAAAATCTTTATTAAAAAATAGCAAAATAAGTTTTTGTGGCTCCTTTCATAAAAGTTAGATTTTAATAAAAGTTAAAGAAAGAAAATCACTGTATAACATTTGCAGATTAATGTCTATTACATGAGGACTGTACCATTCTTAAGTTACTGTACAATTTTCATTACAGAAGCAGAGAACAGAAAAATCACAGTCCATTCCTTAACTAAAACGTGTTTATCTGGAAAAAAGACAAGCATTTTGTCTCTCTCCCTCTCTACATATATGTACACACACGTTTTTTTACTACATGTATTTTAAGCAGTGCAACAAGTAAATGCTGTCAATATTAAGTCTTTTAAAAATCTCCCATATAGTTTTCTACCCTCATGGAACAAGAAAATCACATGTTAATATTGTGGCTGAATTTGTTTTAACTTAGAATTACTTCATCTCAACACTTAGTTTCAAAAAATTAGAAAGACAGCTTTTGATTGTTTCGTTAACAAAAATGTTGGTAAAATGTGAAGTTAGTGTCAAAGCTAGCCATAACTTTTTACCAACATCCCTGTTAATGAAATTATCAATATTTGTCTTTCTAATCTTTTCAAAAGTGATTTGTAGCTCATAGTATTTAATTGTGGAGGGTCTTAGCAATCCTTACACTCTTAACTATAATATTGGGGCAATTTTCAGGTCTTTCTGAGTGAGCATTACAAGGCTGCGATACACTTAACACAGTTGGTCCCTTGGGTACTTGCTCATTGGAGTGGACAGAAAAGAAAAAGATGAATCATTAAGAAAACACTATTTAGTTGGCACTCGTTTCATGTTCTTACTAATCTGTTCTTCTTCTGCTAACTGGTGACGAAAGGAAGCGACTTTATCTGTACAAAACATAATGAGAAAAGAGCACCCACTTAATCTCTACATGAATAGCAACCTAAACCTAGAAAACAAGTTTTAGTAACACTATAAATTAAATGTTAATCAGCGGAATACATCCACTTAATCTCTACATAAATAGTGACCTAAACCTAGAAAACAAGTTTTAGTAACACTGTAATTTAAGTGTTAATTAGTAGAACACACCCACTTTCTGTCTACATAAGGATCAAATGAAAGTAAGAAAAGTTTCAGTAATCTGGGCTTGAATTACAAGGGATTGAGTCCCAACCTCCCTGCTTAAAATGTGCAACCCCCAAGGTGTTGCACTATCTTGCAGTTGAGGGATTCAAGTTTATTCACATCTCTCTAAATATAGACTTAGAAACAAAACGTATTAAATTTGGACCCCCCATCCCACCTAAAAATATTTAATCACAGCCGTGAATAACACCACACTTTAAATGCTAATCAGCAGAATAGTTATCCATCTACTATACATCAGATTCCCAAGTTCAGTCATTGCCAACTGTTTACACATTGAAAGGTTAAAATACTCATGTTTTTACTTACCATACTGAACACAATACTAGGCATACCTACATTTAACACACAGTTGCATAGTCTGTTTATGAAGTTACGATTCCTACCTATAAATATTTTAAAACCCAAACTTTTTTAAGGAAGATGTATTTTTTTATGGAGACTTTCAGTTTTATATTAAGACATGAGAAACATCTAAAGCCTCATACCTTTGAATCCTGCAAGAGCTTCAACCTTCTCTGATAGGATATCTTGTAACTGCTGGGCATAAGCTAAGTACAGAATCAAACACAATCTCAGTGACTCAGTAAACTGTTCCAACTGTGGATATAAACTAAATACAGAATCAAACAATCTCACTGACTCAGTAAACTGTTCCATCTGTGGACATAAGCTAAGTACAGAATAAAACATAATCTCACTAAATTAGTAAACAATTTCTTTCAGCTTCATTTCTCTAACAGATAATTATTGGTAACGTATAAAAATTTGAAGCATGAGACATTTCTATTCTAGTAAACAATATTAGTGGATAAAAAAATAGAAACACATATAATGATTTACCTTTCAGGTCTATGCTTCTAATATAAACTATTTTAATATCTTCTGAAACTACAAACTTACTATTAACCATTTGAATATTTTCTCAAACACATCCTTAAATGTAATTGTTTTTGTCCCTCCTTATTGCACTGATAATAATTCTTTCAGGCCGTTTAGATTAAAACTCATATTCAAACCACGATTAATTTTACAGGAAATTCACAAATTTAACTATTTCAATACTATTTCTTAAAAAGGAGTTGGTGTTATGCTACCACGCTTTTTAAATGTTACTTAAGCAAAGTATCACTACATGTTCAGTAAAACTTACCATCCACATCATAGTCTACTTCATTTGCCATGTTTAGTAGGCTGCAATCAACTTCTAACCACTTGTGACTTGCCTGTCATAATACAGCTTAATTAGGTAAATAAACAACGAGTGAATAAAATAATCTTCTCATTAGGTAATTTAGAATCTCACTTTCTTTCAATATAAATTATGTTAAGTCAAAGTCAATTAAACTTATGCACTAAATTACTAACAACTACATACATTTCTATAGATAAACATGCTGCTCTAAAAGCCATTATTAGTGGCATTTACCTACTTCATACAACTTAAACAACTAGTTAAAAATTTGTGGCCAGCATATATTCCAGTTATAGCTCCCATTGGTAAGAAATTTTTTAATATGTGTTATGAAAGTTAAGCTCTAATTTACATAGTTAACACACATACATAATTTTAAAGTTATGGGTTTCAAAATGTACTAGAATAAGTGTACAACCTACATCAATCAAAGCTTTATGAATATCCAGAATTTCCTCTTCCATTCTCTGGAGGTGAGAAATAGCCGTATGGAATGTAACTAAATCCTCGGAAAGCTCTCCCTCCTAGCAGAAAGAGTATAACCAATAAAACAAAACCAAGATTTAACAGCAGTAAAACTCTTAACATAAAGAAGTAAAACTCTAGCATAATGAAGGCAGTAGAAACTAACCTTCATGATGTCAGAAAACACTTTTGGGACATTTTTTAACAATTGTCTTC